CACGCACAATTTTGATATGAACAAATACATCTTTTAAAGGTAAACTGTATATCGTAGAGCAGGTGAAAATCAACTGTTCGATCTTAACTGAACTAATTCGCGGCTAATGCTTTTACTGACGGCTTGCATATTTGAACTAGCATGAATTGCCGTGAAAAACTTGGGATGTTGGAGAAGCGCTTCGTATGGCATAATCCGAGTTTTTTCTTTAAATATTATAGCATGATTTTCTGAATTGTGGACGATACGTATATCTCCTAGCCAACAACCAGGCAAACAAAACAAACTATATCGGTTAAATAATCGAGTCGCTTGAATAATCGAGCGAACACCTTATTTTTAGCCTCGTTCTTGTTTAATGAAGCATTTTATTTCCAACCTTTTAAAACAGTTACCCTTCTGCATGAAACAGTTTTGAAATTTAACCATTTGAACTACGGAATAATGATTGAATCAGAAGAAAGATTTTTGCAATTACAATATACACTCAGGCAACTCTCTTTTTCAGCGAACACTGTAGGAACCTTGAGTTAGTGTCCTCATTAGTTTGTAGACTGAGTCCACAATAGCGGGAGTTTATCTCAGTCAAATGTCTGCAATTTATTTTTGCTTGGGATTTAGCTGCTGTCCGTATGAGAGTAAGTAAGAGTAAGGCTTTCTTCAGTCTGTTGTGAAAAGACTTCTGTGGTAACATTAAAATTTTCCTTACTCAGGGCGATTTAGTTTAAAAACTCCAAGTCTTTTGTTTCAGCAAAGAGGAAAAAGGTGTGATATTTACATTTTCCGCAATCACACTTGTAGAAATCATTTGCGTCATTAAATCAACATCGCTAATAGCTCTGTTAATGTCATTAAAGCCTTGTAAGTTATTGTTATTTGCCGGATTTGAAAACCAATATTTCAAAGATACCAAACTGTTAATGTAACTGCCGAAGGCGACTTTTCTTTCTGCGGTATGTGACAGCATTCAAACGCAACAACAAGAATGGATATCGATGAAGTTGATATTAATGGCTTTGTCAGATCGTTGGTTGGTTTAAGCTGAAATTAGAACAGAAAATAAACTTATAAAATGTAAAACTGCTACAACGCGACAAAATAAACCGAAAATGAAACTAAAACACGGACCGAAACTTACATTGTGTAGACGCTGTAAACCATGAAGAAAGAAAACTCTGCCGATGCAGGAAAAAACTGCAGGGTGTGCACTCCACTAAATGAAACCAGGATCGACTCCTGGTAAAACTTAAAAGTGACTAAATAATTCTGGAACTTAAACTTAACTAAGAAATAAAGATGCAAATGAACGCACTACTTTTCCCGCGGGGGCCTGGTTAGAGGCGGCTATTGTTCTTGGGTGTTAGATACAACACTTAATCTGTTTGAAAAGTCTTAGCATATTTACGCTAATTTCTGAATACCGAAAATTGGTAATCCCAGCGGAGTAGGATTCTTAAGTTCATGCAATAAGCTCAATGTGCGTGATGATAACACCACTAGACTTCATGATTGCGATGTTCCAAACCAACCAGTATTGATTGTTTTGTTTTGATCACAAATACACTTATCCTATAACAAAAATATGAAAAAATAAACATAATATTAAGTGCTTTTGATCAATCCCAACTGAAATAAAACCGTTAAGCATGGTAATGCGTGTCTAGTTTCAAGATCTTTCAAGTCTATGGACCTAATCCATAATGAGATCTTGAGCTTTTCAATGAGACTTTCTGTCAGAGGTCCCGTACTACCAAATGCCCACTAATTGTATGTAAGACCCTGAAGAAGGAAGGCCGTGCCTTCCGAAATATTGGTAAAAAATATATGTATTTTCCCGATTGTAAAATCAGCCTTGTTTCTTTTGTTTAAAATATCAATTATTCGTTTTTCTGGGCTACTGTGATGCCTAACAAAAAAACCTAGTTGAGCACGTTATAGTCAGGTTAGTTTGGCCAAGTACAAGTCAGTGATCTTCTGGAATAACCTGAAATCATAGGTTCAAGGCTAGGAACAAAGAATGGGAAATTGATTTCTCTTTTGGATTTGCCCTCAAGGCCTTAATATCTATTGTTAGTGTTTTTCCTTGTTTCGAATTGAGCTAGTAGTCAACTCGTAGCCGACTGATCCAGCTGACCGATGAACCGTGTAACTTAATCTCCAAATCTGAACACGACAATCGTGAACCTGGACGGAAAACAAAACTTTCAAAGCTGCAACACTGGACTACTGGACTATTTCCGGAGATGTTCTAAGACGACACTCTAAGTTCTGCAATGCATTCGGCCTGTCAGTCTTGTTATGCACCAGAACAAATCAAAGTTCGTACTCGACATGCTGCCCCATACAAAATGGATGTTTGCATCTAGAGATGAGAATGGAGTATAATTTTTTCCTTCTTTCTCGATGCATGGAATGTGCTCGAATAACACTGACGAAGGGATTGTTCGCAGTTCTATCCCTTTTAATACCTATTTCAAGATATTATTACTTTCCCTGATATGGGTATATTTTCCGAATATTTAATGAGTAAATGTTTTAAAATTCCTAGGGTCAATTTAGCAAGATGTTTCCTTTTGGATTGAAGTCGCAACCTAACTTATAAACGGCTACACACGAAATCATCACTTTTTTTAAGGGTGCATTCTGGGTTTTTTTGGAAGGAAAGGGGGAAATTAGGACAGAAAAGATACCCGCCAATGATCTTAGTTGCACCCTGTTAGATGGTGGACTATTTACTTGATATTTGTCTTCTTATTATTCCCTTCATATTTTCAACCCCCAAATCCATCAGTATATTCGAATTTTTCATAATTTTAAACATCTCCCGCCTCTCAATTTCTATTCATTATGAACATTCGTAAAGTCAACCAAAAATTCTTATACATTTAATGAATCAGTGACTACCACCTTATGGCGCCATTTGCTGATTGAGTAAAATCTTGGCTAGATTTGGAAGAAAAAAAGTCAGAAATGAAAGAAAAACAAGATACAGTCGACCAGAATCCCCCTCGTCTCAATTTGTATTTTGACTCGCCCTAATTAAGGGCTCGGCAAAATACCGCGTGACTCGTACAAATATCCCACGATACTACGCACTAAACCGTCCAATAAGACATATTTATTCGACAATATTATAAAATGGTGTATACTTTTCCCTCCCCACGCACAATTTTGATATGAACAAATACATCTTTTAAAGGTAAACTGTATATCGTAGAGCAGGTGAAAATCAACTGTTCGATCTTAACTGAACTAATTCGCGGCTATTGCTTTTACTGACGGCTTGCATATTTGAACTAGCATGAATTGCCGTGAAAAACTTGGGATGTTGGAGAAGCGCTTCGTATGGCATAATCCGAGTTTTTTCTTTAAATATTATAGCATGATTTTCTGAATTGTGGACGATACGTATATCTCCTAGCCAACAACCAGGCAAACAAAACAAACTATATCGGTTAAATAATCGAGTCGCTTGAATAATCGAGCGAACACCTTATTTTTAGCCTCGTTCTTGTTTAATGAAGCATTTTATTTCCAACCTTTTAAAACAGTTACCCTTCTGCATGAAACAGTTTTGAAATTTAACCATTTGAACTACGGAATAATGATTGAATCAGAAGAAAGATTTTTGCAATTACAATATACACTCAGGCAACTCTCTTTTTCAGCGAACACTGTAGGAACCTTGAGTTAGTGTCCTCATTAGTTTGTAGACTGAGTCCACAATAGCGGGAGTTTATCTCAGTCAAATGTCTGCAATTTATTTTTGCTTGGGATTTAGCTGCTGTCCGTATGAGAGTAAGTAAGAGTAAGGCTTTCTTCAGTCTGTTGTGAAAAGACTTCTGTGGTAACATTAAAATTTTCCTTACTCAGGGCGATTTAGTTTAAAAACTCCAAGTCTTTTGTTTCAGCAAAGAGGAAAAAGGTGTGATATTTACATTTTCCGCAATCACACTTGTAGAAATCATTTGCGTCATTAAATCAACATCGCTAATAGCTCTGTTAATGTCATTAAAGCCTTGTAAGTTATTGTTATTTGCCGGATTTGAAAACCAATATTTCAAAGATACCAAACTGTTAATGTAACTGCCGAAGGCGACTTTTCTTTCTGCGGTATGTGACAGCATTCAAACGCAACAACAAGAATGGATATCGATGAAGTTGATATTAATGGCTTTGTCAGATCGTTGGTTGGTTTAAGCTGAAATTAGAACAGAAAATAAACTTATAAAATGTAAAACTGCTACAACGCGACAAAATAAACCGAAAATGAAACTAAAACACGGACCGAAACTTACATTGTGTAGACGCTGTAAACCATGAAGAAAGAAAACTCTGCCGATGCAGGAAAAAACTGCAGGGTGTGCACTCCACAAAATGAAACCGGGATCGGCTCCTGGTGAAACTTAAAAGTGACTAAATAATTCTGGAACTTAAACTTAACTAAGAAATAAAGATGCAAATGAACGCACTACTTTTCCCGCGGGGGCCTGGTTAGAGGTGGCTATTGTTCTTGGGTGTTAGATACAACACTTAATCTGTTTGAAAATTCTTAGCATATTTACGCTAATTTCTGAATACCAAAAATTGGTAATCCCAGCGGAGTAGGATTCTTAAGTTCATACAATAAGCTCAATGTGCGTGATGATAACACCACTAGACTTCATGATTGCGATGTTCCAAACCAACCAGTATTGTTTGTTTTGTTTTGATCACAAATACACTTATCCTATGACAAAATCTTAATAAGTAGTTTCTTAGAAATCGATTTTGAGATAAATATTAGCGATAAAAAATCACGACGTTTCGACCTCTCCGAGGTCATTTTCAAGTGTATAAAAGTTCTCTAAATTAGCATAAATAAGTTAAAAACAAGTTATAATAGATAAAAATGTCGTGAACGCTAAAATGTGATAAAATATGTAAAAATGTAAAAAGTGCTAAAAGAATTTATAAAGTCAAAAAACAATGGAAATAAAACAATGTGAACAAGAACTACTCTAAACTAATAATTTGGCGCGAATTGAATCGCACTGTTTGTTAAGCGTCGGTTTCAGTTCTTGGATAAAAAACATTTCAAAAATAAGACAGTCAAATTTGTTCTGACACTTTCTTAAGATTCTAAAACTTTGTGCGATGTCTTCAGGCTCCATATCATGCTGCTCTCTGAGGTGGTTTCCGATTGCCGATCCTTTGTGTTCTTCAATTCGTTGGTGTAGGTGTCGGCACGTGTAGCCGACATAGCCTGCATCACACAGGCTACACTGGAAAGAATACACCACGCATTGTTGACTCACAAGAGGCGGCTTGTCTTCCTTGACCTTAATTTCATCTTTGATCTTCCTACTTGTGTAAACTGGGCTGATGTCTGCGTTGATCTTCCTACTCAGGTCAGCCAGCTGTTTACGTACTACGTTTGCTGATTTCTGGTCTTTGAAGGGCAACACGATTCTGATTGGGGCTTCTCTTTTATCAGCCACTTGGGTGTGTGAATCCTCGGACACTTTGGATTCAATGAATTGCCGAATGGTTGACTGCACAAGGTCGTCTAGATAGCGCAGTCGGGAGAAGATCTCCTTAAGGCGTTCACATTCCCCGTGAAAAAACTTCCACGTAGACGAGAGTTTAAACGCACGGTTAAGCATGGTGTTCAGGAGTGACCGTTTGTATCTGGCGTCAACGTGACTGTGATAGTGTAGCAGAAGTACAGTGTCCGTTGGTTTTCTGTAAACCGTGGTGTCTAGGCGGCAACGATTCCTGATAACATTCATTCCGAGAAAGGGAAGCTAAAAAATAAACATGATAGCTAAAGCTAAAAAATAAACATAATATTAAGTGCTTTTGATCAATCCCAACTGAAATAAAACCGTTAAGCATGGTAATGTGTGTCTAGTTTCAAGATCTTTCAAGTCTATGGACCTAATCCATAATGAGATCTTGAGCTTTTCAATGAGACTTTCTGTCAGAGGTCCCGTACTACCAAATGCCCACTGACGTTCTCAGCGCAGTGTGCTTTGAAAAAACAATTTCTTGACTTTTCTTGAAATGGCTTATTACCTAATCATATTTTACATATTTATTTATTAAAATCATATTTGACGTAACCTAACAAAATAGGAAAAAACAAAAATTCGCAACTCAATAAAAACGCTGTCGACTCATTTCTGTGTTTTTTTCACTGGTGATCCGCAGACTCTGTTGGCCTTTCTGTATTCTCTAGTCTAAAATGTCAAAAAAAGGGACTGTCTCACCAGGTTAAGGCTGGGAAAAGATGATCTGAATAATAATGGTAATATCTTTTTAGAGAATGTATTATCATCTGGCTGAATTTATGAAAACCGCACCAGCTGGCAACTCTAGGCCCACAGCTTAAATAAAGTAAATATTGTAAAGAAACTCAGCTCTTACCCATAAGCCTTCTAAAGTTATTCCCTTCTTGGTTCCTGATTAACAAAGTCTATTAAAAAGAAACTCTCAAATTGACCATCTCTAGCAGCTTTAAGGCTCTAAATGACAAGGCAGCTTGAGACTTCAGCTAGCCCTAAGCAGAGAATTCAAGACCACAAAACCCCCCTGGCCTGACATGGCCTCCCAGCCGAGCACATGGGTGAGGGGAATCCTTTCAATCGGACTGAAACATTTATTGATAAGGTGTGCTATTTACAATCACCGTGATTGCGGAAAATGTAATGTAATGAGCGATTCAACCTCAGAAGCACGGTAACAAGCCCGGAGGCAGACTGGACATGAGGAAAGGGGGCTTTTTGTCTCATGGAGTTACAGCATTTACCAATGTCAGAGTTCCGCATGTTAACTCCAAGTATAACCAGGGAAAAGCAACATCCACCATCTTTAAGGAGCAATAGGAGGAAAAAAAGCGGAAGTACCAACAGAGGGTGCTGGACGTTAGAATGGGATCTTTCCCTCCCCTAGTTTTTGGAGCAAAAGGTGGGATGGGAGCCGACTGCACCTGCTTCCTCAAACGTCTAGCCGAGAAACTCTCAGAAAAGAATGAAGAACCTTAAGTTATAACATTACTATTACTTGGATTAGAGCATTGTTTTCTTTTGAGGTTTTAAGGTCGGTACACACATGCGTAAGAGGGTCCAAGACACCTTTCCACAAAATTCCCTAGCAAGGAGATTTCATTGATGACTGCCGCTTAAACGCTAGCCAAGCGTGTGTCCGCTAATTTTAGAAAGTGATAATGGCGTGAGCTTGTAAATTGGTATTTTAGGATCTTTTTAATATTTTTATTTCATCAAAATTTTAGTCTATGATAGTGGAATGTAAATTGGTCACATGAGTACAATGCATAATAATAATAATAATAATAATAATAATGATGATGATAATAATAATAATATTTCCAGGCACAATAATGCTGCAGCATATCTCCAGTGGAGCATCTGTAAAGATCATGATATAGAGATTACAGACAAATGGTACGAACACGAACCAGCGACCGTGATACACAATAAAGATAACAACGTCACCATCATGTGGGACATGCCAGTCAATAGTGACAGAACTATAACAGCGACCAGACCAGACATCATCGTTAAAGATTCAGTGAATTCCACCTGCAAACTGATTGATATGACTGCTCCATCAGATAGAAACATCGCACTGAAGGAATCTGAAAAAAAAAGCAAGTACAACGGCCTAGAACTAGAAATACAGAGAATGTGGCATATGAAAACCGTAGTGATCCCTGTGGTTGTTGGTGCGCTTGGTACAGTGAAGAAGGGTATCGTAGAAAACATCAAGAAAGTATCAGAGAGAGCTACTATGACAGAGATTCAAAAGATCTGCATGCTGGGATCTGCGCGAATCCTCAGAAAGGAGCTCTGTGTATGAACAGAATGATTGACTTGAGTGACTGACGCTCTAGGTGCATGGTTTGCGCCCGGTTGATGCACAAAAAGAACACCAGCAAAGACTTTGATAAAAGAGATAATAATAATAATAATAACAATAATAATAATAATAATAATAATAATAACTGGGATTAGTGTTAACATTAAACTGCTACAGAAAACTATACTATTTAAGGACCAGCTATAGGATTCTGAGGGTTGCTTGACTTCCCAGTACCAGGCCCCTGCTACTTAGAAGTACTTCGAAGTACTTCTAATTAAGTGCAAGAGTGCAGTTTTTCTTGACACACTGAAATGCAAGTTTTTTTAAATTTGCAATTGAGCACCGATTGAGGAAAAATGGCAGACGATTCGTCTTTCAAGCTACATGACCTCACCCACTCCAAATTAAAAAAATCTAGACCTCTCTATCAGTGTTAGAGGCATGGAACCTAATATAGCCAAGCCATTACTTCCCCTTGCTACTTGAGGAAGAGAAAGAAGAGGAACAAGAGGATGTATTCCTTAAAGAGTCTTCAGGGCTGAAAATCAAGCAAGATTTTCAACGCCTATCATATTATTGGAGCAAGTCTGCACGCTACACAGGTGGAAGCTTACTGTTGCCAAGTTACGCACATGCGTACCTAAAAAAAATCTAGCCAGGGGTAAAAGATGAAATGAAATAAATGAAATAGACAATATAACAATAAAGAAAAGCAAGAAAATGAATGAAAGTACAGTTTGTTTGTTTGCTTGTGGTTTACTTAATGATAAGCGATTGACGTGCTTCGCTGTATCAATGAGCCCAAAAAGGCAACAAAAGATTTTGCAACTTCCTTAAGAGTTCACGTCGTAGCCCTCTAACAGAAATTGGGTCGCATTTCAGTATAACTCGCGAAATTAAATCAGGATAATAGTATCCAGCAAGAGGCAAACCGGTAAGTGCGAGTAACAATTACAAAAAATTATTTTTCACGTCGCTGTATCAAAATTACGTTTGAGTCAAGCAAGCGATATCACATTATATTTACTGTATAACCGGAATGTGTTTCGTATAGTCTCAGTCGTGGTGATATGAAATTTATTCAGTGCTTGATTAAGTTTTCTAGTTTTTTCTTTTTTCCTCCTGCACACATTCTGCACATTGAGATGCGTGCATGCCACAACGTGTGGAATATGAACTCCTTTGGCCGTGTTAAAATGTCCAAAAGAAAGCAATATTAGAACAAAACGTTCGCCGAAACATAAAATTAATTAGTACATTAAATTAAATTTTTGACGTCATATTTTAGCTCGTGACTTTTAAAAAACCCAAAAATGTGAGTATTTAGCATATTAACTCAACTTTCTCCATCAGGCGGTGTCAGTCACATTTCTCTAACCCCAGCCATTTTGTAAATGAAACAGACTTTCAACTATTGGAATATAAAGGTGGTAAACTTATCAATTGACCTTATAATAAATCTAGGAATATTTAAGGTGACTCGACACAGTTTTTTTTAGGGGGTACCATCCTACTTTGAAGCTCTCTGGTATCCCCACCTTTAATTTTATCGTAAGTCTAACACATAGAATGGATAACATATAGATCAATCTACAATATAACATAAAATTTTTGGCGATCGGAGTAAATGTCACGTGGTTATAATGCCACGCCCCTTTAAGGTTTGAGTCGAAAATCTGCTGTTGCCGGCATTTTTTCGTGAAAATCTCTCGGCTACACATAGTGCGCATTAGTGCCTTGCGCTGAACAGAGTTTCACCAAAATCGCAAAGACCCAATTCGAGAAATTCAGCGGTTTCCAAATTTAGGTCATAATTTATGCGAAAATGATAAGCAAACTTTACACGGATTATATCTAATAAACTATGAGATTCATCTCTTTATTTTGGGCATCGTTATAACAGATGGGTCCTTGCAAGTCAGCAAAACGCTTTAGGGCCTTGTAAATGCGCGCGATTTCGAGCAAAGCAAACATATAGAAATTATAGTTTTCGCTATTTGTTGACGTTTGTCAGCGTTTAAGAGTCCTTCTCACGAAAAAAGCATTTTCTTAAAAATTCGTAGTTTTTTTTCCTTCAAATTTTTTCAGGGCCACAATTGATTAACTAACTACCCGGACTCTGAATTTCATGGTCATTGAAAAACTGTGACATTATCTTCTATAAGCCCAAACTTGAGTAAACATTGAAGATTTTTAGCGTTTTGGCTGAGTTTGTGCTTTGGGAGTTGTCTATTGTTTCTAGTCTGTCATTATACAGCATTCTTGTTCAGCACGCGTGCAATGACCACGCTTGGCTGACTTCCGAATGCTCACCGAGATATTCCCGTCACGAGTTGGTTTAATTATTGGCTTGCATTAAACCTATGAAAAAATGATATTTTTTTAATAGTAAGTAGATTTAGTGTGTAGCACTTCTTGATTTTTTTGCAAAGGCACAAGAAGCACGAGAATTGATTAAAAATTGTGACTTAAACCTCTATGTATCACGCGATGGCCTGTCTCACTGTACCAAAATTATTATATCTCGGTGAGCATTCGGAAGTCAGCCAAGCGCGGTCATTGCACGCGTGCTGAACAAGAATGCTGTATAATGACAGACTAGAAACAATAGACAACTCCCAAAGCACAAACTCAGCCAAAACGCTAAAAATCTTCAATGTTTACTCAAGTTTGGGCTTATAGAAGATAATGTCACAGTTTTTCAATGACCATGAAATTCAGAGTCCGGGTAGTTAGTTAATCAATTGTGGCCCTGAAAAAATTTGAAGGAAAAAAAACTACGAATTTTTAAGAAAATGCTTTTTTCGTGAGAAGGACTCTTAAACGCTGACAAACGTCAACAAATAGCGAAAACTATAATTTCTATATGTTT